GCAAGGTTGGTAGCAAAAGGGTATACTCAGACCTATGGTGTTGATTATCTGGAAACCCTTGCACTAGTAGCTAAGATGAGTTCAGTTCGTATCCTTTTATCTTTAGCAACCACCTATTCATGGCCCTTGTTCCAGCTTGATGTCAAAAATGCTTTCCTCAATAGTGACTTACAGGAGGAGGTATATATGGACATTCCAGCAGACTTTTATGAAAATGTTGGTAAAGGAGAGGTGTGCAGACTCAGAAAATCTCTGTATGGACTGAAACAGTCACCTATGGCTTGGTTTGACAGGTTCAGAGGGGCACTCATCTGTTTTGGATACACACAGAAACAGTCTGATCACACCCTCTTTGTGAAGATGAGAGATGCTTTGGTGTCAATTCTGATTGTGTATGAGGATGATATAGTGGTGATAGGAAATGATCTGGAGGAGATTGATGATCTCAAAAAATCATTGCAGTAAGAATTTGAGATCAAAGATCTTGGTGAGCTCAAATACTTCTTAGGGATTGAAGTTGCAAGATCCAAGCATGAAATCTTCATTTCACAGAGAAAGTATGTACTTGACCTACTGCGAGAGACTGGGAAGCTGGGGACCAAACCAGCAGACACTCCTATTGATCCAAATCACAGAATTAATGGTGTAGATAGTAAATTGTTTGAGGATGTGGGGAGATATCAAAGAATGGTGGGCAGACTGTTGTATTTGTGTATGACACGACCAGATATTTCTTATGCTGTCAGTTTTGTGAGTCAGTACATGCATGCACCTCGGGTTTAGCCCTGGGAAGATATTGAGAGAGTACTTGCATATCTGAAAAAGCACCCTAGCAGATGCATTCTTTTCTCAAATCATGAGAATCTGAACCTTGAATCCTATGCAGATGCAGAGTGGGCAGGATGCTTAGATGACAGGAGGTCTACATCAGGAGTGTGTACCTTTGTAGGTGGAATCTTGATCTCCTGGAAGAGTAAGAAGCAAGCGGTTGTGGAAAGGTCAAGTGTAGAGGTCGAGTATAGATCCATGGCTCATGGTGTCTCTGAACTTCTTTGGGTTAGATCTCTTTTGAGTGAGATTGGGGTGAAAGCAGAGGAACCTATGRYGTTATAYTGTGACAATCAGGCTGCAATCAATATTGCCCACAATCCAATTCAGCATGATAGGACAAAACACATTGAAGTTGATAGACACTTTATAAGAGAAAG